GTGCTCACTTTCCAGACGCGTTTTGAGCTCCGGAGTCGCCAAACAGGCCTCGCACCGAACGTGTGGCCCCACCAATGGATTGCTCTCCGAACGAGGAATACATTGGTGGGATCACACGTTCGGTTCGAGTCCTATTTAGCGACTCTGGAGCTCAAACCGCGTCTCGAGTTTTGGCCGCCTCTACCGGTCTTCTGGCCCACTGTGCGCAATGCCGGCGGAGTGTGGGATGGCCGGCCTAGCGTGACGGGCGTGCAGCGTGCCGCTCCTGGCCGCATGACTAATACGGAAGGTGACATCCCAGAAGGCGGACGGACAGACAGACAGGCAGGCAGACAGACAGACAGACAGACATGCAGCCGGGCGGAGGGAGGGACGGAGAGGGAAGACCGAGAAAGAAGTCTCGCCTCCCATCTTCGGCACGGGGACGTGCCCGCTGAAGTAGCGGCATGATTTTGAACTCCTCGGCGGGGCGGGGCGGGGCCCCGACGGTGCAGCAAAGCCCCGCTCCTCTCGTCACTGGCGCACTTGAACTGTCTTCTTCTCTCGCCGGACACAAACGCCCTCTGTTCTGAGCCGTCTGTGTTGAAGCTCGAGAGAAGGGCGGGAAAAAATAAAAAGAGAGCGCAGACGGTTTTTCGTTTGTGGTTCAAGGCGAGGTGTATATCCCTGGCTGCCTTTAGGTGACTTCTCATTGGCTTGCCGCCGCACAGTGAGCCAGAAGACCGGGGGAGGCGGCCGAAATTCTATAGATGGGTTTTGAGCTCCAGAGTCGCTAGAAATGACTCGAAACGAACGTGTGACCCCACCAATGGATTGCTCTCCGAACATGGGATCCATTGATGGGGTCACACGCTCGGTTCGAGTCCTGTATGGCGACTCTGGAGCTCAAAACGCGTCTATAGAATTTTGGCCGCCTCCCCCGGTCTTCTGGCCCACTGTGCACAGCTGCATTTGAGCAAGCGCATTTGTTTATCTATTTTGACTGAGTACCTACCTATCCCCGCGAGGAGGACCCCCTCTCCTCCCCACTTTTTCGTGAGTGATACGTTTGATTGTTTCTGTCATTTTTGTTCTCGTCGATTACTTTTTATTTCACTTGATCCCTTTTCCGGTGTGCCTGACACGGCCGCTGACCTGCCTAATCGTAGCACCCGCCTCTGTCTGTCTGTCTGTCTGTCTGTCTGTCTGTCTGTCTGTCTGTCTGTCTGTCTGTCTGTCTGTCTGTCTGTCTGTCTGTCTGTCTGTCTGTCTGTCTGTCCGTCCGTCCGTCCGTCCGTCCGCCTGCATCATGCGCCCACCTGTTTCCGATTCGATTACGCGTCGATGTATCGCGGCTCTTGTTGGCAGTGCCGCGGAAGTCCGGTTTCGGGTTGTCTCCTACGCTGCATTGTCGCTCAATTGCCGTTGCCATTTTTTTTACTCTTCCTCTTTCTATTTTTTTTACTTTTTTATTTTTTAAAGGGCGAAATGACTCGGCTTCTGCTTTCATCGCGCAGACTCCATTCATGCAGGGCATTGTCGTGGAGCCGTCTCGGCCGGATGACAATAATCCTTCTGGCAAGACCAGCACGTGTGTTTAGTTGTTGTTGCTTCTTCTGCCGCTGCTCGTGTTGTTGTTGTTGTTGTTGCTGGTCCAAGTGGAGGCCATTTACCCGCAGATGAAGGTAATGAATCGGTAGCGCCTTGTGCGGCGCGGCAATGTGTTCGGGGCGCCGCCGCCACGCGCGTGTGCTCACACACACACACTCACACGTGCACATGCATGCACGCTCAGACACATGCACGCACGGTGGGAACACGTGCGTGAGGCCTGTGGTTGAGGATGGGGCGTACCCTCTGCTCTGCCCCTCCTCGCCCTGTCCTCCCTCCCCTCTCTTCCTTTCCCTCTTCCCCCCCCCCCTCTCTCTCTGTCTCTCTCTCTCTCTTCCTCCCGCGTGCCGCGAACATCCTCCTCCTCCACCCCTTTTTTGTGGTTTCTCTCTCATTGACGGGCGCACGGGTCGGTTTTATTTCCCCGTCGCACTGCATGTAACGGACGAACACACACACACACACACACACACGGCCCGATGGTAAGGGCGTGCGTCGTACGTCGCCGCTCCTGGTTGCAGCGCGGCCCCTTCTTGCCTTCGCTAGGCGGGTGGGCGCCAACGTCACCTGGCTGTGCCTTGTCGTGCGACCACACCGGAAGTAGATCGTAGAGAGACGCTGCCCTTAGTCTGTCTAGAGAGGCGCTGCCGTAAGTCTTTCTAACTAGAGAGGCGCTGCCCTAAGTCTGACAAGAAAGGCGCTGCCCTAAGTCTGTCAAGAGAGGCCCTGCCCTAAGTTTGACTGACTAGAGAGGCGCTGCCCTAAGTTTGACTGACTAGAGAGGCCCTGCCCTAAGTTTGACTGACTAGAGAGGCGCTGCCCTAAGTCTGACTAGAGAGGCCCTGCCCTAAGTCTGACTAGAGAGGCGCTGCCCTAAGTCTGACAAGAGAGGCGCTGCCCTAAGTCTGACTAGAGAGGCCCTGCCCTAAGTCTGACTAGAGAGGCCCTGCCCTAAGTCTGACTAGAGAGGCCCTGCCCTAAGTCTGACTGACTAGAGCGGCACTCCCCTAAATCTAACAAGAGAAACACTGCCCTGATTGTAGAGAGGTGCTGTTCCCTGAGTGTTCTGCAGTGGCCTTTGCAGTGTGGCGTCTGTAGAGAGGCGCTGTATAGCTGCGAAGGGTCTCCGAGAGGCGGTCGGGGACAGAGGGCGGGGCGACGGCCATACCATGGAGGTTGCTCTGCAGCATGTCGCGGTTGCGACCCGCGGTGCCGCGGTGCTCGGGGGAGCAGCGCGCGGCGCATCACTGCGGAAGTTGGCCTCCGAGAATAGAAATAACAGTGGCGGTGCCGCGCTGCTCCGCGCGACGGCAGGACACGCCCGTGTTGCGATGCACAGTGGGCCAGAAGACCGGCGGAGGCGGCCAAAACTCTAAAGGCGTTTAGAGCTCTAGAGTCCGCTAAACAGGACTCGAACCGAACGTGTGACCCCACCAATGGATTCCTCGTTCGGAGAGCAATCCATTGGTGGGGTCACACGGTCGGTTCGAGTCCCATTTAGCGACTCAAAGCTCAAAACGCCTTTAGAGTTTTGGCCGCCTCCACCGGTCTTCTCACTGAGAATCCAAACGCTATGAGTATAGCGTCAATTGGTGCAATGCAAAATCATTGCACATGAAGTGCAATGCCTCCCCTTTGCCATGCAAAAGCATAGGGCATTTTCGGAAAGCATTGCACCTATGGTGCGATATGGCTCTGGCATTGCACGTGTGGTGCGATATCTCAGCGCATTGCACCATACGTGCTATACTCATAGCGTTTGGATTCTCAGTGCTGGCCCACGGAGCACCGCCACGCCACGCCCGTGCGTCGCGTCGACGACCGCGTTCCCCGCCGGTCACGGCGGCACTGCGGCACGCCACTGGGAGTCGCTCTGTCTCTCTCGCGCACCCAGGCGACGTCCCGTGGGTGCGAGAGAGACCGATGACGACGCTGGGAAAACAAACGTGGCGATGCACAGTGGGCCAGAAGGCCGGTGGAGGTGGTCAACATCTCGGACGCGTTTTGAGCCCCAGAGTCGCTACATGGGACTCGAACCGAACGTGTGACCCCACCAATGGATTGCTTTCCGAACGAGGAATCCATTGGTGGGGTCACACGTTCGGTTCGAGTCCTGTTCAGCGACTGTAGAGCTCAGCGTCTGGCCGCGGGTGCCGGTCTTCTGCCCCTTTGTGGGGCGGGTAGCGCATGGGCTGCAAGGCCCAAAGGCCACACAACAGACGGACAGACAGACGTAAGGCAGTCACAAACAAAGCAGCAGCAGTTCAGAGCCGCTTGGTGCATTCGGAGAATGGGTCTTTTGGGCCGGGCCGGGTTCCCGTGGCGGACCTACAGCCTACAGCGAGTGCAACAAGGACGGAGTGCCCCAAGGCGCGGTCCGAAAACGGGGCGTGGTCTCAACATGGGGCCCGGCGGCACAGCCTACGATGCGCCCCCAAGCCGAGCCCCACACACACAGCCTTGTGGCAAATGCTCACAGACAGAGCGCCCCTCGGCTCCAAAACAGCCCCGAAGCCAATCAGTGCCGGCCAGGGCCAGTGGACTGACTCCGAGAGTCGTTTTCGTCGCTCTGCGTCTCTCGCACCCATGAGGCGTCTCGTACAGGAGCGAGAGGGACAGAGCGACGAAAACGACTCTGGGAGTCAGTCTGCAGCCACGGCCGTCTAGGAACTTCCCCGATGCATCACCGGGGCGGCGTCCTCGCTTAGGCCCCGCCCCCGCCTGATTAACTCCCTGGCCGTTGCGGAAGAGGGGAAGTGGGGAGGTGAGAGGAAGGGGAGGGGAAGGGGAAGGAGGGGGGGGGGAGGACGTTAGGCTCCTCCAGCAGACTTCCAATCGGCGGCCGAAACTCCGCAGCCTGCCACCCCCTTGTTCGTTCACGGGACTACTTTCGTGAAAGGTGCGATAAAAACAGGAGGAAGTGGGGCTAGGCTCGACCGTGGCAGGCAGGCAAAACTCTCGACAACTCACTAAAAACGCGTGCGGGATTTTGATCGGCCGCACCGGTCTTCTGGCGAATACACTGTGCTGCGGCGCGGGCGGGGAGAGCTTGTCGCAGGTCAGGGTGCCGCCGGTAGCGCTCCGCTTGTCGTCCTGGATGGGCTGCCTGCCCGGCACTGCCCCGTCGACCGTGGCGTCCTGCCTTCGCCGGGGAGTCGAGGGGGTCGCCCATAATTGGATACGAAATTATCCCCGGGGCGGGGCTGGCGGGGCCGCAGGCTGATTCCGAAGAATGGTTTCGTTCGCTCCGTCTCTGTCGCACTCGTGGCGCGTCCCGTTGGGGTGCGAGCGAGACAGAGCGACTTATCGGCGCTGGTGGGGCGGTGTACAGTGTGCACCCGATCTGTCCCCCCAAGTCGTTGTTTGAATGGTTATTGTCTGGAAGCTCAACGATGTGTCTCTTGTTCCAGGTTGGTGGCGTGCGGACAGATGGACGGCAGTGCAGTGGCGATGAGGTACGGTACTAGTACACTGTACACTTGTACTGTCCGAGAGGGGAGGGGGGGGGGCGACAATGGCAGGCGCGGACTCAAAGGGGTGGGGGGGGGGTCGGAAGTCTAGGACGCCCCGCGAACCGCGAAGCCTGGCCGATCGAACGGTTGTTCGATTGGATTTGTTCGCGGGCCCCTCAGAGCGTCTCCAAAGAACCGTCTCGTCAATCTGTCTCTCTCGCACCCTTACCGGACTCACCGTGAGTGCGACAGACGCAGAACGGCGAGGGGACTCTTTCGGAACCAGTGTGTGAGGAGGCCGCGCTTCGATGAGCCGAACCAAAAGCTTCGATGAGGATCCCGGACGCTAAATGGGACTCGAACCGAACGTGTGGCCCCACCAATGGATTGCTCTCCGAACGAGGAATCCATTGGTGGGGTCACACGTTCGGTTCGAGTCCCATTTAGCGACTCAGGAGCTCAAAACGCGTCTAGAGTTTTGGCCGCCTCCACCAGTCTTCTGGCCCTCTGTGCTCCAATCCGGGATGCGTCGGGGTGCGCCCAGCCAGGAGCAGCAAGGCACCAGGACGGGCAGCGGACTGTGACCGCCTTGCCCGGCCCTGCGGGATGGTTCCTCCGAGCACGGCCTTCGTCGCTGTCCCTCTCGCCCCCTTACGGCACGCCCCACGAGTGCGAGAGAGACAGAGCGATGAGTGTAACAGTCGGAATGAGCCCGCTGCCCACTTCCCGAGGGCCTGCTCGTGCTCCTCCGGGACACGGCGACGGCGTGGCCGTTGGAGCGCGTCCACGCTTCCTCTCTTTGCCCTTTTGGGCGCTACCCGCTAGCAGGATGGGTCGTCGTGCTGTCTCTCTCGCACCCCAACGTGACGCCTCATGAGTGTGAGAGAGACAGAGCGACGAACGCACAACGACTCTCGGTAGCAGGGAGCTGGGAGCTACTGGCTGTGGCCTACGGTTTCCCCTGCTCTTGGACCTCGTGGACGAGGTTCCCAGTCGCCCTGTCTCCGTCGCACTCACGGAGCGGCTGGCGAATTTGTGGCACGGCGCCTGGCGAATAAGCGATAGGCAGCGCGCCGCGCTGCGCTGCGCGCGGCGGGACGGGCGGCCTATGTGCCGGGGGCCAAGACCGGTGGAGGTGGCCAAAACTCTAGACGCGTTTTGAGCTCGAGTCGCTAAATGAGACTTGAACCGAACGTGTGACCCCACCAATGGATTGCTCTCCGAACGAGGAATCCATTGGTGGGGTCACACGTTCGGTATGAGTCCCATTTAGCGACTCTGGAGCTCAAAACGCGTCTGGAGTTTTGGCCGCCTCAGCCGGTCTTCTGGCCCACTGTGACACGCCCTTGATTGTGACTGTATGGGTTCCTGACTGACAGCGGCGCGGGGCGTCGAGCACGGCGTCGTAGTCGCTCCCCCTCGGCGTCTCGGCGGCGGCGTCGGGGCGAGGCAAGGGTACGGAACTACACGCACGGCCCAGTGCAGTGTGGGCGCGTGTGGGGTTCCAAACAACTCGTGCCGCATTCCAGCTCCAGCGCCACACACACACACACACGCACACATACACACAGTGTCAGGCTAAGCAGCACGCCCCAGTGCCCCCGTGCCGTCACGAAAAACACGCGCGCGCGTGCGTGTCTACACATTCCCTGGACGCAACCCCCCTTACCCAGTCATCTGTCTCGCCCCTCGCCCCCGCGGCGACCCCCCCGGTTGTCAAAATCAGACCCTCTTCTGCCCAACCCCCCGCCCTCTGTCCCTCACTACCAGAAACAACAATTGCCCCGCACACACGTAGGGTACAGACAGACACACACACTCGCACACGTACGCACATACACATACACACACACACTCACACGCAGATGGACACGGGGTGCGCAAGCGCAGAGTGAGTCGTGCCGAACAGGGCGTTGTTGAGCTTGGCACGTGTCTCTCGCACACACACACACACTCACACACGCACTAACACACACGCACACTCACATGCGTGCGGCAGCAGGCAGGGTGGGTGGGGTCGACACGCGTCACCTTTAACAGGTAAAAATAATCCTTGCCTCCACCTCGCCGCGCGCTCCGCCGCCACCGCGTAGCACAGTGAGCCAGAAGACCGGTGGAGGCGGTCAAAATCCCGAACGCGTTTTGAGCTCCAGAGTCGCTAATGGGGCTCGAACCGAACGTGTGACCCCACCAATGGATTGCTCTCCGAACAAGGAATCCATTGGTGGGGTCACACGTTCGATTCGAGTCCTGTTCAGCGACTCTGGAGCCCAAAACGCGTCTTGAGTTTTGCGGCCGCCTCCACCGGTCTTCTGGCCCGCTGTGAGCTCGGGTTCGAATCCTTCTGCCGGCCTGCCTCCTCCGCCCCTGCCGGCTCCGACTCCACTACTAAATCTATCAAAATAAATCCCCCTGTCAAAAGCTGCCACCCTGGCGTCGTCCTTCCGTCCCCCCGACTCCCCGACGTAGTGCTAGCGGCTCTCTCCGATATTGAGAGGGTGGATGGAATTGAATAAATTATCGCGGGGCTCGGCGCACTCCGCTGCGGTCTGAACCTTGCTTCGTCGCGCTGTCTCTCTCGCACTCGCACTTCCGCGGGACGGGCCCCTGCAGTGCGAGAGAGAGAGAACCTCGGAGAGAACGACGGGCCACAGTGGGCCAGAAGACCGGTGGAGGTGGCCAAAACTCTAGACGCGTTTTGAGCTCCAGAGTCGCTAAATGGGACTCAAACCGAACGTGTGACCCCACCAATGGGTTGCTCTCCGAACGAGGAATCCATTGGTGGGGTCACACGTTCGGTTCGAGTCCTGTTTAGCGACTCTGGAGCTCAAAACGCGTCTAGAGTTTTGGCCGCCTCCACCGGTCTTCTGGCCCACTGTGCGAGGGCAGTGTCGCTGCGTGGCGTGATTGCGTTACGTCGTGGTTTGCGCACGGGCCCCGCGGCCTGCGGACGGAAGCCGCTTTTTGTAGCGATTTGATTGGACGAACGCGGCGCGGGGCGCGGCGGCCAGAGAGAGATGGAGAGAGAGTTGTCGGCAGCGGCTGGCTAGAGAGAGAGAGACAGAGAGAGAGGCTTCTCGGCGAGATCAATTTATGGCGCGGAACGGGGCGACGTCGCTTCTGTATTTCCCTGGCCGCCCTTTTGCCTGTCCGTCCGTCCGTCTGTCGACCGTCGAATTAAAACGAGTTAATGAAATGGAAGAGGGAGATGAGATTTTTCCTCGCGGACTCCACAGAAGCTGCAAGTTTCGCGCCCATTTCGTCTCGTCACCCTTGCAGTGGTAAAACGAAGGCGGAACAACAAGACCTGTGTGGCCCTTCGCTCTGTCTCTCTCCTACCACTTGGCCACGCCCCGTGAGTGAGAGAGAGAGACAGAGAGACTGTCCTAGAGTGCACCAGCAGCTCCGCGGCCGGCGGCGTTGTGGGGAAGGTGGTGTTGCTTTTGTTTTTGTTGCTGTTGTTGGTGCGTGCGGTCCGAGTATCGGTTCGTTTATCGCGTGAAATCAAACACAAACAACATCCCTCCTCCACCTCCTCCCCGGCGGCGGCTCGCTTGCAGTGCAGCGCCGCGCGGGGTGCGTGCACCACCACCCCTCAAGTCTCCCTCCCCCCCCGCCTTGCTCCCCCTCGCACCGTGGGCCAGAAGACCGGTGGAGGCGGCCTAAACTCCAGACGCGTTTTGAGCTCCAGAGTCGCTAAATGGACTCGAACCGAACGTGTGACCCCACCAATGGATTCCTCGTTCGAAGAGCAATCCATTGGTGGGGTCACACGTTCGGTTCGCGTCCCATTTAGCGACTCTGGAGCTAAAAACGCGTCTGGAGTTTAGGCCGCCTCCACCGGTCTTCTGGCCCACTGTGCGGGATGGCGAGCAAGGGGGAAATCACTTGTGTAATGGTCGGTCGAAGGGTCTGTAATAGCCCTGTAATGGCCCTGTAATGTGTAATACCTATGTAATGGGTGTAATATTGGTGTAATGCCTGTAATGGTCCTGTAATGCCTGTAATAGGTGTGTAATAGGTGTAATATGTGGGAAGAAAAATACAGAAAATGACTAAAACATGCGCGAAAGTCAGCGAAAAAGTCATTTGGCTGCAAAGTAATACCCAACGTCCGGATCGAGCCGAAAGCAAGCCGAAAGTGGCATGTAGGGTGTGTGTGTGGGGGGAGGGGGGGGGGGTGTCTCCTGTGGGGGCAGGCGAGGCGCTGAATTTGTAAGGAGGGGTAGTCTAAACCCTAATCTGGTTCAATATGTACAAGCTATTAATTGATTGGAAAGACAAAAGGTTCCTGTGGCCAAAAGACATTCTTGTCAAATGATATTTCGGCCAAGATTCAAATTCCCAATTTTTTCATGGAAAATGATTGATGCAAGGGCTGAATTTTATCAGGACGGGTTGTTGAGAACCGTATCTGTTAAATAGATAGTACAACCACTTCCCAAAGAATCCGACCAGCCCGGCCCGGCGATACCCCGCGCGCCCAGACGGCTACCTCCAGCGGCTACCTGGGCGCGGCGGAGTAGCGCCGACCGGCCGCGGCGGTTTGATTCTTTTACAAGCGGTATTAAAGGTATCGGGGGGAGGGGGGGGGGTGAAAGATCCCCCAAGACAGCTAACAACAGCGACCAGCTGAGGTGCCACTGCTGTACTACCTAGCGATACCCTGTGCCCACGGAACAAAATAGTCCCTCTGGAGGCTGAAACCTATTTCCAAGGCCGTTCTAGCAGCGTAATAGCCTTGTAATAGTAGTGTAATAGCTGTAATTGATAGGTAATTCCTGTGTAATTGCGTAATAGGTGCGTAATGGGCGTAATGATTGTAATTGCTGTAATTGATGTAATTGCTGTAATTGCACTGTAATGGTACTGTAATAGCAGAAATATCGATGTAATATCTGTAATTTGCGTAATAGGTGTAATTGTCTGTAATGATTCAAAATGTAATAGTCGGTCGACCATTTTCATGAGTGATTTCCCCCTTGATGGCGAGACGCGGCGAG